TTTTTTTTTTTTTTTTTTTTTTTCATTTTAAAAATGCCACTTGCAGATACGTATCGTAATAAAGAAAAAGGAAGCTTTGGCGTGTTGAATTTTCGCGATTTAGGAATCTCGACAGCGGACAACGCCGAAAACAAAAAGTAGGAGCACGATATGTTGATGCATGCACAATGCTTATTTATGTAGATATATAAAGGAAGGACTCATTTTTCGATCAGCTACACTAGATAATATGAGTCAAGAAGAGGTCGATGAATTTATCAAGGCACACAAAATCAAAACTATTCTAGATTTACGCACTGGGTACACATAAAGATTCATTTAGATATACAAAAGAGAGGAACTAAATATAGATTAGAATAGAAGGCAAAGGAGGATTACCTATCGACAAAAGCTTTCCTACTTCAGCACTTGATAACGTAAGTTTTTCTTTTTTTTTTTAAAAAAAAAAAAAGAGGAACATGTTTACTTATCTCTTTCACAGCTAAAGCCTACAGCCATGTTGAAAGAAGACATTGAGCCACGTGCCAAGATAAAAACAGAAGTAGGATCAGTAGGATCTACTTTGCGTAAAAAGTATAAAATCGACTTTGCTGGAAAGAATTTTCAGAGATACTGCGTTTTCGCTTCATGTCCACTTTCATTAAAGCTGTAAAAAAAAAAAGAAGGGGTCAATTTCTCAATGACAAATGTACTAAAGTATTTTACTGTGATAGATATGTCATCCTCTTGATGATATTTTGTCAGCGACAAAAGGCCGCTTATATCATCGGTAAAGAGATATTGTCCAAGATGGGCGTCAAACAAATGTATAAAGAGTTTGCTGTTTACTGTCAAGAAGAGATCCGTGAAGCACTCATGGTATTCACGGATCCAAGGAATTATCCTATTGAAATTCACTGTACGCAAGGAAAGGATAGAACAGGTATGGTTGCTGCCTTTGTTCTGTGTATCGCTCGCGTGCCTGAAGATATCATTGTAAATGACTATGCAAAGACACAAAAGGGACTAGCACCTGTGTATAAAGAAATGCTAGAAGATGTTAGACGAGCTGGATTATCGGATGATTTTGCTGAGGCTCCTCCTCAGGTATTTATAAACAAAGTATCTGCTCTCTCTCTCGTTTCTTATCCTTTTTCTATATAGTTTATGAGAGAATTGCTGGACTTCTTGAAGCAGAGGTACGGATCTATCGATAATTATTTTGATGCTATTGGATTTGGCGAAGAACTTCGTGAGCGAGTACGAAAAGCAATTTGTTTAAATCAATAAACTATAAAAGTGTTTTTCCAACTATATTTTGCGTAATCTCCTTCACATGTTGTTGTCATTGCAATTCAGCTGACGATTCTTTTAAATTACGTAGCTCATTGTAAAGCACAAAGTGCCCCATTTTATGACCAAACAAGAGATAAAGTAGGATATTACAAGCCCCACCTGACGCTCTGTGTGAAAGATATCCTAAATAAGAAATTTTTTGTTTCCGTCCATTGTATGATTTTTATTGAAGGGATTCCACTAATTTGATCTATATCGATTTCGGAACATTACCTTAAAAGGCTGCGCTGCCATGGCAGGTTCCTTTGATACAAATATCGTCATGGTAATAAATAAACGGAAAGAGTAAAGAGTAAACAATAAACATACACAGATACACAGAGGAAAATAAAGTAATTTTCTCACTGCGTTATTATTTCTTGTGTGCAAAGTAAAAAAGCCCTTGTGTTTATTTTTATCTATGATTTATCGAACGTTCCTACGATTGGACTATGATCTCTATTTATTCCCTGATTTCCCCGAGCGGAGTTCTTTCTTCTACTCCTCCCCCTTGTTTCTCATCCACACTAAAATAGTATATATATATCAATTGTTTCTTATTTTATTCTTTATTTAATGAAAAATGTCATTGCAATTTATTAGCTTGACGCCTGAAGAAGACGACTATGACTACAATAATAATTCTTTTGACCAAGAAGAAGAGACATACTGGATAGACGACTGCGAATGTCAAGAGAATCTTGCTACCATCCTACCTCTTAATCCTGAAGAATGCACAATAGATGAAGACAATCATATTCAATCAACAGATGTGCATGTATTCTTTGAAGAACTAGGCTATTTTACAGAAGAACCTGAACCTATTGATCCAACACGGGACTATGAAGCAGAAGCAAAATTATTATTAGAAGAACGAGACAAGACAAGAAAGAAGCATGTGGATTTAACCATGCCTTCTCTTGATGATACCCATACACCCTCTGGCATTTCTTCAACCTGCTCATCATTTCATGCTCATGACTTCACTGTCCCCTCAAATCATAAAATACCAAGCTACGTCTACGCAAGCCATCATACAGATCATCTTTCCATTCATGTTTAATATTTTGCATTTTATTTATATAAATTAAAAGCATCAGTAATTTTCTTTTGCTTCTTTTGGTAAACTCTCGTTCTTCTTCTTGATCACACCTAAATGAATTATACGATCGCCTGACATCGCTACAGGGTTTGAACTACGGCCAATGACCTATAATACAATAAGAACATATTTTACAAAAATAACAACACTTACAATGCCACTACAAGGTGCATAGTATTCTTCGACAACGTTACCAAATATATTCTTTATGCGAGCAATCAAATCATTCTTTCTAATGATTGTATTTACATTGGGGTACACTTCCAAAATACCACCCATTTTTGTATAAATCTATATTGCTTTTAGGCCATCAAGGCAGTTATTTTTTAAAAAATATAAACTTACCCAAAAGCCTTTAGAACAAAGGATAGTACTGGAGGGACCTTCCATTGTAGAATGTTGACTAGCCAATGCATACATTTCAAGATGATCCAATATACGCATTGTACCAATATAAGCCCATTGGACAAACTGAGTCTGGAACGACTGTGGGTTACCAATTTCGACTGTAATTGCCTTAATTCCTCTGGCGGACGCAGCTGATCTCAGTGTGCCATCTTGTCCTGAATTATGTAGCACGATCTGTGGTTGCTGTAATCTTGCCATCATAGCCGACACGGAATCATTCTATATAAAGACTATTAGAAAAGCTGATACATATATATATATATATATATATATATATATTGCTTTCTGGTTCTTACCATATCAGCTCTGACATAGTAAGAGTTGACTCTTCCAAAGCTTGCAGTATGCAAATCAATTAGGTAGTTGAATTGAGATATAACTTTATTCATTAATTGATAACAGTACACTTGTGAAGAAAACCCGTCTTCTCTTCCAGGGAATAATCGGTTCAAGTCTCTTCCATCTGCAAATTCTCTGGTGAATTTCAGATAGCCAGATACATTGACGCAAGGTACTGCTACCACCGTGCCACGAAGCTTATTCACATCAATTTCAGAGACAACCCTGATAGATATCAATCAGGTTGCCTCTCTTTTTTTTTCTTTTTCTTTTTTTTTACCTGTGTATGCATGGCACTCCGTTAAGCTCATTACCATGTACAGCTGCCGTAATACCTACCACGGGGCCATCCTCTGTACCTCTGCAAACAATAACAGGCAATCTGAGCCACTCTCCAAGGCCCTGTTGTACCATTTTGATCCAAACAGAGTGAATGCTGTGAACAGGAAAATCTTCAATGACTAACCGATCTCTGACAACAGGAGGAGGCACATCTGTGTCTCTGAATTCAAATAAGGGTGGTTCATAAAGTTGATTTGACTCTAGCTTGCCTTGAAGCAAATAAACGCTGCTACGGTTTTCTTTTGATATCGGTTGACTATCATAGACAACAAGGGACCCCTTTCTTCTTGGCTCACGGCGACGGCTTGGTACATCGTCCTCTCTTACGGCAGGAGTATTTGCAGTTGACGTAGGTTGATTGTTATTATTGATTGCAAAATAATCTGACATGGTTCCAATCGTCGAAGGCGCACCCTTGGGCTTTGACTCTGTCACCTGAATCGTTATCACCGTGGCCTCCTCTATGCCAAGAGAGGTTAGTGCCTATAACAAGGGATACTTCTTTATTTACCCAGATCACGGTGGCTCACGTTGCCTGTAGAATCAGATGATTGGATGACCATACTAGTCGGACTGGCGTCTTCATCGCGCTCGACACAGAGCGTTTGTCCGGCTTTGAGAACACCCTGATAGCCTTGAGGACTATTTTCGTCAAGACTGATGCGAACGTTGCCCTCGACGACATAAACAAGGGCAAAAGCGCCCAAGATTAATTTTCTACCTGTTTCACCATTTTCATTAGAAATAGGTTGACCAATCTTATCAATCGAGAATCGAGCCGTGCCTAGATCTTTTTTGATCAAGAACTGAAGGCTGGTGACAGGTGCATTGGTCACCCTACACGTTGTTTGCCTAATAAATACATTACTACCTGAACATGACGTATCAATCTCTTTCTTATTTACCATTCGCCGTTCCACGTATATGGAAATAAAGGTTTAATCCTGGTAGATGCTTCCTCTCCACGATGGTTTAGTTGAATAACAGACTTTTTGTTTCCAGTAGGTAAAATCACAGTTGTACTAACAGAAAGTAAGCTTAATTCCCCCTTTTTTCATATTAGTTCTACCAATCATATCCCAGGAACATTGGAAACATAAAGTCAGAGTCAATGACATTTTCACTCAATCTCCAAAAGAAAGAGTCTTGTCTATAATCCTTTTCTGGTGGATAGATACATATTTCATTAGTTTTACCTAGTCCATTCTTCCATGCTTGAGTGGCACTAGTATAGAGTCAATCGTTTGATAAGGAATAAATATATATATAATTTACCCCGGTTTGAGTATATCAACACGTACTAAGGTAGGCTCAGGCGAATCTACTTGGAGTATAGCTCCTTTGGGTACTTCCTCTATTGTTCTAGTCATTGATAGATTGATAAAAAGGAATAAAGCAGCAAAAAAGAAAAGAAAGAAATCAGAGCTTTAAATAAATAATACCAAGTCATGTGTTTTAAGGTTTGCTTTACTACTGGCTCAAATCTTAAAGACAACGAAAGACGCTGGAAATGAATTTTTGTTGTTACTAAAAAGGAGTGGGAGATATCAACGAAAGGTGGGAAAATATCATTCTTATTTAAATAACGCGTCATTTATGATTGTTTATCTACCTTTGACCATCATTTATATGTACGTTAACCATATGGTTACACTAATACGTTTGCCCAAGGAGAGTCTGCATAAACCTATTTGTTTTTATAAATCAATCTTTTTTCTTCTTTTTGTAAAGGCCAACTTGTGTGTTGTTTATCTTTTATTTGCAGACTTTATTTATAGTTGGTGTATCAAAAATATTCTATTTTGCAAATCACCTCCTTCTTTCTCTCTCTTTCTCTCGGAATCATCGGACCCTCCGCAAGCAGATGAACGTCAATCGCCGAATGATTTTATATTCATCATGGCCCAATCATTTACCAAATGCTGCTCTAATGATGATGAAAAAAAATGGTATAACTCGGGGTTTAAATATATTTCATCATATGAATCAACTATCTTCTTTTCCTTCTCTCTCTTTTTTTTTCTCACTCTCTTTTTCTTTCTTTCAATCAAACAAAATAGTTCAATGAAAATAACCCATGAATATTAACAACCATAGCAACAATAATACTAATAATAATAACCTAATGGACTTTAAAGTCTTGTCAAAGTACGATGATCTATTTACTGATGTATTCTTGGATAACTTGCACCTTTGGTTCGATACTATCAAGATGAATGATGAGCATCGAAGACCAAGAGTACCTAATGCAAAAATACTGAGCATCATTCAGAAAAATATACTAGAAAACTCGAGACTTGTGGATGCTATTAATGAAATATTAGAGCAAGTATTTTATTAGATTATCATACCTAGTCCTAACCTTCTTTCTCTTTATAGAATTGACTACTTTAAACACTATTTGTCCTTAAAGAATCCAAAACAGATACAAGAATTTGTTCAGCATATGAAACGTTATTTATACATGTAAGAAGTGAAAAATTTTTTTGTTGTGTCGGGGTAATTAAGATGTATAAAAAAAAAGGTACATGCCAAACGCAGGCTATGAAGTAAGCGATACGAACAGATACTCAGATAAAAGAGTAGAGGCATGCTTAGTAGCTACCAAGGATTGGCATGTCGGCGATGAGATGAAGTTTTTAACCGGCATGATCGCTACCCTTGATCCAGAGGATGATGCTGAATTAAAGAAAGGTAACAGGGACTTTAGTGTCATGTGGTCGGCAAGAAAAAATTGTACCTGTCTCTTCTTGGGTCCTGCAAGGTTTGCTAACCATGATTGTGATTCGAATTGTCAGGTAAGTTTGAAAAAAAAAGTAAACAACTGTATCTAATCACCATGTAGTTTATTGCACACGGCCCAAATTCGATTATATTTAAAGTAGTCAAGGAGATCAAGTGTGGTGATGAAATCACGGTATTTTACGGCAATCACTACTTTGGGGAGAATAATTGCGAGTGTAAATGCATCACCTGTGAGAAAAGAGGTACGGGTTATTTCACTATCCCATCCACAACCGAAGAGGAGGATACAAGAACAAATAAACGTCCTACACGAACAAGAAAACCCCCGGTTGCACATGAAGGTTTGTATAACTTTGTATAACAATAACAAAGATGCTGACGATATAAATAGACTATATTCAAATAACAACAAGCCGCCGAACAAAGCGTACTGTAAGCCAGTTGGAAGAAGACGACAGGGATGAAGAAGGGGAAGCGAACAAGAAGCTAAAGATGAGCATTGACTTTATCTGTAATCACGAAAGCAACAGTAAGAACGACGACACCACTCATTTGAATCTACTCGTGAATGCGGCTGTCATGGAGACCAAATATTTGCCAGAAAAGAATCAAGATGAACTAACCATCGTCGTCAACCCTGACCTGTACCCTTCTCACGATTCACCTCCTTTATCTACCAAAGCCGATTCAGCTGTCAGTTTATCGCCGAAAACTGAAAAGAAGGAATTTGACGATTTTGATTATTTGGATCCGTTTTTGGACGATGTATCCGACCTGTCATCCGTGTCGTCTAGCGTATTTGATGAAGAAGAAGAGGAGCTACAAAGACAAAAGAATGATGCAATCAAGAAAGCGAAAAAGGAAAAGGATTTATCATGTATTGCATGTAAGCGGCCTCTACAGGATATCCCACAACAAGTAGGCGCCGAAACGCATGAGCTCGCTACCTGGACATGGAGTCCAAGCGCAGTGTTTACAGATTGGTGCCCAAAGCGATGTCCTCGTTGCGAACGACATTTTATTATATTTAGGCAAGAATGGCCAGACAGAAAACAAAAGAAAATAGTGAAAAAGAGTAAAAGGAAAAAGATGAATAAGAAAATAATTGACCTTCCGCCGGCTATGGATCTTCTAAGCAGCCAACTAAACACACCCTCTGAACTAACCCCCTCCTCTGAATATGCTCCCTCTCCGTCTTTGGCAGAAGAAATAGAATTGTAAAAATATGCTTATATTATTGTACATAGACACACATACAAACATATACCATTTCTTAAATAAAAAGAGCAAAAAGAAAATATTTATTTAATCATCAATCACTGCCCAATTCTTTACAGCTTTGGTCACATAATTCAAAATCTTGCAGTTTTTCTTTTCAACAGTAACCTTGTTCGGCAGCTTATGTTCTAATTTTTGATAAGCCGTAAACTGAAGTGTAAAGAAATCAAGCTGACATCCGCCAAAACTCCAACCTTCGTCATCTACTCGGACACAACCGTTATGGGTCTTGCCATCAGGTAGCTTAACACCGTCGAGTTCCTTGACGTATAGTTTTGTACCAACATCTACATCATTTGAAGCAACACTGACCCAAGGCACCAAAGAATTATCATCATCACCGCCTAATCCATAAGGGTGATCACCTCGGTCGACCTTCAAGAAGGTATCGTCTCCGTGATCCAAATTGACCATGACACCATTTTTGAGTAAGCCAGTACCCTCCATCTGGAATTTTTCATAAGTCACCTTGGATACTTTAGCAATCGTATCACCATCTGTCGTCTTCAATTTCTTTGTCTTTGATCCAGTGAGTTTAACGACTTTGCCATTGTTTAGCATATCTGGGTCGCCTTCTTTTGGTATCCAGTACATTGTGAGGGTTGCCTTTTTGTAACATCCTTTTAAACCTCTTGGCCGTATTAATGGTTGACTTGTCACCATGGATAATAATACACAAAAAATAATGGCCAAAATACTCGATGATTTCATTGTTGTTATAAGGGAGAACCTGCTCTGGGTGATATATAAAAGATTGGAAAGGGGAATATACGATCAACGCTTAAAGAAAAAAGAAATGCATTGAATTTGCTACGACTTTATATACCAAGCAAAGGTGTAACAGAGTAATTAAGTAGCATTTTGCTATGTGCTTTTTTCATGACCTTAATTAATTCCCTTGTTTGTAAAATGCTTTCCTTAATTAATCGGGGGGAGCCATAGAGACCCATTAATTCCGATCCGGTCTTTTTGGCCAATTAAACAATTCAGGGACACAATAGCTCAGTCAGATGAGTCGTACGGGATCTAATTATGTCGTCTGTAATAAACTAACCAGGAAAACTTTTTCTTTTCTTTTTTTCTGCGCATTTGTTCAGCTAAGCCCAGCTTTTATTAATGAAAAGAATTTAAGCCATGACAATAAAGCTACTTGTGCTACGCATGCTTTTATTAAAGGCTGTATTGTTAATACTTTGACTACAGAAGGATTAATCAGAGTCTTTCAATTGATATCAAACCAAGTGACCTCGAATTCGATTTGTTACAATTGGTGTTCGCTAGTAATTCATTTCCCGTTTAGATTGTGTATAATAGTCTACCATGATTGGGTATAAATCAGAGATGATAGAGAGCAAATGAGCAATTTATTCTAAATTATGCCATGTGTGTACCTTGTTGTATAATGCGGGAATAGTTTTACAGAAAACGAATCAAGGAGAATATTTCCTAATCTAGTGATAACAATCAAAGCTTTTCTAATGATTCCTATTCACTATGGAGACTGGGTTCATAAAGAAATTGAAATACAAACAAAGATTACTATTATCTCAGCTGCAATAATGAATGAGATTATAATACTCGATTCAACACTTTGTAGGTGTTATATATATTTGTAGATATTCAATTAAGCACTACGATGCATCCGATTGGATAATGATGGGATAAAAAAGATGATCATACTGCTGCCATTACTTCTTTGGCTCACACTTAACGACAGCTTGTATCTATAAAGAATTAACTGATCGACCTATAGATACTTTATGCTTTTCTGATAAATTTATTAGGGTCATCTGTTTCTTAATGGTTTCCACATTGATTACACCAGATAAGTATGAACATGATAAGACTCACTTATTATAAAGCAATCTTTATATCTATTAAATAAAAAACAAAAAGACAAAGAAATAGGTACAATTTTAATGCAGAGTGACTGTAGAAATAACTTTGGCCTTTTTTCCATGTGTACATGCGTAGAATGTGGAGCATCAGTTAAAAACCTCTTTACACAGTATAGCAAAGATAATATTCGACTGACTACTTGTGTAATTAAGCTGTCTAATGTTTACAATAATAACATTAACTGTTTGATTAGGAACAATGTAATCAGTTTGCAGACAAATACATTGAACATGACTTTGTTGTCATATTTATCGACATGCTTCTTCATAAACCACAAGTCTATCGTCACATATTATTCAACAGAATAACAGAGCAAGATAGAGTAGAAGTAAAGCAAAATATGAAAATATTTATATTGTATTCACTGTTGGAGACATAGCCACACGTGTTTCGATTTGCTATTTTGCTTATTCTTTTTGAAGTGTGTATGTATATGTATATACTTATGACTTTCAACATTATATGCTCATACTTCCTTATAGATATCAAATGGTTTCGCTTAGAGAGACACTGTACAGAATATGACACAAGATTCATTGAACAGCCATTATCTTTTCAATACTTGTACATCTTGGCATTATGTATTATGGGTAAATGAAGTATTATTATTGCATATACATATATATATACTAAGTATATATTTATAGAGTTTGCCATGTTTCATTTAATCACTCATCTAATCATTTGGTTATCTTGTCTTAAGAAGCAAGAAAAGAGAATCAGATACAATTATGTATCAATGGCTCTTATCATATCAAGCTTTGGTAAAATGTTACTAATCTTGATGGTCATTTGGGATTATAAGCAACTTGAATATTCATGGTTGGTTAGTATTATTGTAATGGCATCTAATATAGAAGCATTATCAGGTATATTTATATATTTATTATGTATATATACATTAACCACTATTTAGTCTACTTGAATATGCCATATATACAAACATCCATCATTATCATATTAGGAACATTAGGCAGAATACTCGGACAATTCTTATTCTTATATATTACTTATTTTAATACTAGTTCAAAAAGCGTTTATTATTTTACTAAAGCTGGATGGATCAATTTATAAAAATAGGCTGCACATAAAATAAAAAAAACTCAACTCAAATTAATTGATTTGAAATGATAATCTACAAAAGAGCCATGAAAGGTCAATGGATTAAATTTACCAATTTCGAACTTGGCTATTTCTGTCATGTCTTTAGCATCGATCACAACAAGGTAACAACACTTTGCATGGTTAGCCAAACTGATCAAGACACCATCATCTTCATTATCAGAATTTGGGTGTGGCACAAAGATAGGCTCAGAGCAGCTGTAACCTCTTTCGCAATATCGGAGTATGGGGCCATCATTCATGTTTACTTTGACCAGTGCAATCGTAGAATCATCTCCTGAGGCCAATTGGCAGCCATAGACAAAACCATAAGGCTTGCTAGCGTATGCCTGATGAATTCGAGGGAATTCAACATTGGTAGCAAATGTGTCTACAGAGATGAGCTTCTGTTGGGGCAAGTTAATCGTATGTCTTACAAGATCGCCAAAATCGACTTGTTGCTGAGGAGGGTAGGTGAAACCATTGAGCTTGGTCGTTGCCTTTTCCGAGTCTTTTACAGGCATGCCACCAAAATTACGTACTTGATACATGATATTACCATCAGCAAAAGCAGAACAGTCAAGATGAAGAATCGTGTCCCCGTTAGGATTTTTGCTTTCGAATGCATTGGCTGTGTGAAAAGTGAAAAATTCGGGAGTAGGAATCGATGCGATGTGACCATTCTGTTCAGGGTAGTCTAGGTTTCGGCGGATAATGTGAAAGTACGTAGGTGTGTTTTCGAGCCATTTCATACATGAGACAGCAGTTCCTTGAAGAAGCATGTTTACTGCTTTGTCCTTGTACACAAGTGGTGATTCAGGCAGGATAACATAATTCTTGGTTAAATAGAAAGAGTGTATGTAGGGCGTATCGATCCCTGTTTGCTTGCTATCGCGTCTATGAGTAATATTGGCCAGGACAGTCGTGCTGCCATCTTTTGAAGTCTTGAAGACAGTGATTCTAGGAGCAGGAGCAAGATGCATAGAAAAATTGAAAATCTCTCCTGTTTCTGGGTCCAGCTGATGATGAGCAGCAGAGAATATGCCATCTAATTCAGCGTTGTAGGCTCCATAGTTAAAGATACGCTCGGGTACTATTTTTTGCATGGGAGATTATCAATCACAAGTTTTCTCTCTCTTCCCATTTGAACTTACCAAGTGTTTCTGCATGGATCTTTTGAAGTACGTTTGCATCCGTTTTTGCGACCAAGACTTTCTCAGACAGTGCATCGTCTTTATCCCAATGGATAGGTAGTGGGAAATTGGGTGTAGGCGTCACTCCAACAGAGAGTCCATCAGGCTTGCTTCTATTTCTTGGTGTAGGGCGAAGAACGTAGTTATCGACTCTTGAAAGAAAGCTTTTTATCCAACCAAAGAACGACATATCGCGAAGATGGCCAAAGAAGACGAGTCCTATACTAGAGCCTGCTTTGATGTTTTCTCTTAAAGAGTTGGCAGTGCATCGAGAATTATAAGTAACTTGCTGTGTATCACCTTTGATGACAATACGATGAACTACGGGCAATCCATCAAATGCATGACGAATACTGTATGTAGCTCCATTATTCTGCTTGATATTAAATATACCAGGGCCTGAAATCTCATGATAAATAGGTCAAACACAAATATACAATTTATCATTTCTTACCAATGCGATACATGATGCCATTCAGCCATATGGGAAGCTTACCACTGACGCACTTTAAATCAATTGGTTCTTGGCATTCAAGTGTGTTCTCCATGCAATTGGTTATTTGCATAGCAAGAAACTTTTTATAGTCTTGTGTATAGTTCTTGTAGAGTAAATACAGAATAAATCCTCCAGGCAAAAGAAGGAAGGTAACTAAAGCGATGACAAACATGATGGCAAAAATCAATCAAAGGATTAAAGAAAGAAGAGAAAGATAAACTATAGGGCCTCCTGTTTCTATAAGCATTTCATTATTCTTTTTTTTTTCATGCGCATCGGACGATTATTTCCTTTTTGGTATTTTTTTCACCGTAACTGTCTACGAACTTGCTTTTGTATGACAAATAAGATGTATATGCTGAACTTTTAGGGAATAATGCATATCCTGCTCTCTTTTTTTGTACAAGATATCAATTGTTAGAAAATTGGAGAGTAGTTTTGCATTAAAAATGGACATTTTTCTATACCGGGCTTGAAAGGTCATATATAGACAACATCAAGTCTATTTCAAAGAAAGAGCCATAACTGCTATTTATTTGCACTTATTTTCCTGTCAAGGTTGTCATCACAATATATCATGGACGCTCGAGAAAAAACAAAACAAAACAAAAACGGCCTGGAACGAAATAGTGTTTCATCCCAGAAAAATCCATAGATCAGGATGGGAAAGTGTGATCTCTCTTTATGAGTTAAGGGGACGTTAATGGAGGATTAAGATTATAAGTAAACCTGTATTGTGTATATTACATTCATTTCTATATGAAAATACTTGAATACATGCTTAGGACGAGGCAAAACAAACTTTATAGAAAACAAAGAGAGAGGGGAGGGAAACAGAGAGCAAGAAAACGTGCAAGCGCGCGTGGCGTGTGTGTATATATGACTTGAGAGTTTCAGCAAGTTCAATTTTCAACAAATTCCTGAGCTGTCAGGCACTATGTCAAGTCAAAAGAAAGAGAGAGAAAAAATAATTTCCTTTTGCCCTTTCATCTTTATTCATTGTTATCTTTGTTTTACTTTTAATCATGAATAAGATAGTACCTTATAATGCTGTTAAGCATCCTTCGTTCTCTAGATCGCAGCTTCAAAAGAACGTGACCACCTTGATTCGCTTCTGGAACACCAAATGTGTACAAGGTACTCCCAACGATGACAAACGAGATAAGCCGGGAATTTTTGAGGACACAGTGCCAAGTAGAAAAGACGATCAAGTTCTAACTGACAACATGGCCGATTCTCTCTTTTGCACATTGACCGATTCGGATCTTTTCTGTGGCCTCTTTGATGAGATGGACCGTATTGGAGGTGACATTGCGGCTTCTTTGGAACAGGGCAGTCAAAGTGAGTCGCTGCGTTGTGATGCAAGTAGCTTGGTAGCCAGTAAACAAGAAAGTGACGATATTGACAAGGAGATCATTGGAGATTTTTCGTCTGCTATAGATGAGGCTCTTCCTGAGGCATATTCTCCCGCTTCACAGGTTTCTCCCAAGGCGAGACGGATTAGCCTGAGTAAAGCGTTGAAGAAACCGCTCGTCAAGCTTTACAAGAAGGTAAAGAATGTGTTTGCAAAGCGCTTGGCCAAAAAAAGATCCATCGAGTTTGTTGTCAATAAAAGCTACACAAGTGACCCCGTAAGTGAGAGAAAGATGGGATATAAACCCTTTTGTTGACAATTTTCTATCTATAGGTCCCATCCTTGATAGCACATACCAACGATGATGAAGAAGCATGTTTTGGTGAGCAAAGTACTTGTAGTCAAGAAGAACTATCGACACCCAAGGAAACATCCTTCAGTCAATACTTTAATGAAGTCAAGAACGACGAGAAGTCCTCCCTGCTTGGTGAATCTGAGTCATACCCACGAGTGAACTTGATCTCGTACTTGGTCGATTCTGTTCAAGCCAAAGTAGGCGGTGGTAACTTGGGTATTGATACTAGCGAGCTGTATTCATCTCACAGCCAGATAAAATACATCAACTCCTCAGGGTGCTCACCAAGTGATTGCATGAACCGGTTTTCCATTAATGCACTGCTGGACAATTTACGGAGAATGTCGGAAGAGTTTCAAAGGCAAGATTTCAGCAGCGGTAGTTGTACGATCAGTAGCAACAATGGTAGTATTGACTATTATGACATTCCGGTGAAGCAATTGTCTGACAAGCATAATGTCGTGTCGTCTACGTGGAGCCGACCTTCTTCACAGGTGATCCTCAAACAACACACAAGTATCCATCAAGTTCGCTCTTGTGTCACTCACAGTCAGACCGAGACTGATCTTGAGTTTCAAGACCCTGTTCCTTATGTGAAAATCAACATGCAGCGTCATGATACTTCTTCAAGGAAATACAAGCTTCCAGAGATTGTTCTTGAAGACAGATTGCTTTACAAACGATCTGTCTCTGCGTATTCTGGTTTGAAAGATTACGACCTGGCATGGCAAAGCACCTTTCACAAAGAGCAACAAGACTTAGATAAACTTCAGGTGACCCTACAAAGGTAAATATATATATATTTATACATATATATATGAGCATCGTCGCTAATAGTTACATGTATGTAGTGTTTCTTGCGCACTTCATGAAATGATCCAGGTCAACCATCATTATGGTCAATTTGAATGTGACCCTTTGTTTCTTTGCTACTCTGATGACTGGCAGACGGAACCTGAGACAGAATGGGTAGATATTTTTAGAGAGATGGCAATCATGTTTGAAAGGGTTGAGGTGAGACAATGCATGTGTATGCATGTAGGGGTTATTCTAACATCCTTTTCTTTTTTCTTCTAGCTAACATCAGAACACGCCATCATTCTATTCATCTATACCAAGCGAATGATAGATAATTCTGGTCAGCACCTTTTTGATGGTAATTGGCAAAGTATCCTGATGATCTCACTCTTGACTGCATTCAAAGTCTGGCAAGACTATTCAGTCTACAACTCTGACTACTTGCAGATTTTCCCTAACCTCTCTGTTGAAACGATGTAAGATAAAGAAAAAGAATATATATTCATTTCAAAATACTGAGTCTTTCTTTATTTTATCTTATACAGAAATCAGATGGAGGTACAATTCTTAAAATACCTCGGCTGGAACGTGAATGTTGCATGCTCAGAGTTTGCAATGACTTATTTTCATCTAAGGCAATTTTTAATATAATTAATAACAGAGCCTCTTTTTTATGTAGTATTAAAGAGTTTATAGTGAATAAGCAATAAAAAGTGCTTGTATGCCTCTACTGGTTTTGACCATAATGGCATTCATGTAGTGAACATAGATAGACTCTGTTGCATATGTGTTTAAACGGCCCTTTGCTCTCATTAAAAGATCAACGCTCTAAGCAAGATTTGATTACCGCTAAAGCCAACCAAACACCCTAGGATTGTAAGCTCATTTGAAATGCGGCGTGTTTAAAGTGTATAAGAATCATATGCATATACTCCATCTCTTTTACTTGGCCTCAGGTAGATGTTGCATTATTGGATCATTGACGAATGGCCTATCAATGATTGATAAACAGCGATCTGTGAAAAATGACCCAGGTGCAACTAGAGAATCTGGTGGGGGTGGTGATGATTTTCCTGATACTATCTTTGCATAATATAAAACATTATGATGTCCATGGAGCGCAAAAATATGAGAACATGCCTGGAAGCTGGCTATCTGTTACATGATTGCGATATTGCCAAACAAATGGGTTTACTTCAGAAATAAAACAATATAACAAGATAGAGCAAGTGATTTATGTAAAGAGAGAAGAAAGAAATTGCTCTTTAAATACAAGAATAAATGCTGTTAACCAAGTGCACATTAGATATAACGCGTCATCGACAACTATAGGCTACATATGCCATGAATCAGTTCTGTGGGCTTAATACGAAGCACTATGTTAATATTTAAGATGGCTTTGGATTGTGTACGAAATACTTATTGATTATTTGACAATAAATGATGCTATCTTATTTAATATAAATGTAGAAATATGACACACAGTTTGTTATAGTTGCTCATGGGATTCAACTGCTGTCAAGTACTACATTACTAACTGCTGGGAACGCCTTTGTTTGGCTGATTTTCTTACATTATTGATTCGTTTTAATGCTTTCTTGACAGCATTAATATCAATATGCTGCATTGTATAAGTTTGCATCACCAAAGAAGCAGCACGCACCCAAACGCGATTGCTTAAAAACTCTCAGTAGCCATTTTGACTCTCTCTCTCTTTTACATTACTCTCACTTTTTTTTTACCCTTGATATCAAAAAGGGGTTTTTTAGTCTCTATTACTGACCTTTTGATCTCACCCGAGTGGTCTTTTATTGCGCTCAACAGGACGCTATATTAAATAATATCCGTTATTTTCAAAAAAATGCGACATTACCTATTAGAAGCGCTCTACAGTGCTTCCAAGAAGTAATGTCACAGCCAATCAAAATTAATGTCACTAGCCAAATAAAAATAGTGTCATTAGCCAATCAAAATCAATGTCATATTTTTAGAAATGTTGTCACTTGCGCCTGCTTAGAAATCAGGCACCATGATTCTTGGCACCTGAGAAATATAAACAGACAGTGAGTGCACTTTTCCTTTTGTTTTTTTTTTTTTTTTTTTCTTTTTCAAAACTTTACGATTCAACATGAGTACGATATTTCTATATGAAGATGGACATGGGAATGTTGTTGATGAGAACGGTGGTCCTGAGCCCATGGACTACATTGTTAATCAGAATTAATTTATTGTTGAGACTATTGCTACTCACACAGAGTACTTGGGAAATGCAGTCCCCAATGAGTCTTCTCTGACTTATCCGATGTTGGAAAAGCCAAAAAATGAAGATGTTCATATGAAGGAGGCAAAACCAAAACGAGAATATGTGCGCTATACAGTTCAGGATAAAGTTAGGTTTTTCGATCTGAAGATTGAAAAGTGTATGACTGCAGCAGCAGTAGCAGCAAAGCAGTTGGGCATTCACCCTCGAACAGCTTATAGATGGGTGAGCCAGTACAATGCGTGCCTTGACGGTATTTTTGGTAGCTGTAAAAAAGTAGGTCGTAAGTGTATCTTAACTAAAGAACATAAAACGACTGTTATCAACTTCATTGATGCTAATCCCTCTGCTACTGTTATTGAAGTAACTGAGCATTTATTGAAGCAATTTCATGATCTAAAAGTACTACGCAGCACTGTTAATAACTTTATGAGACGTGAATGCAACCTTTCGTTGAAAAAAGCAGAATTTCATTCTATTGAGAGAAACAGTCCAGCAAAGATTGAAGAGAGGCACAATTGGGTTTGCAAATGGGAAAATACAGACATGAACTTTCTGACGAATTGCGTGTTTCTTGATGAGTCTGCTTTTGATATAAATATGAAACGTTCAAGAGCCTGGTCCAATAAAGGCACTCGCGCTATTGTTACCAGGCCGATTACAAGAGCAAATACAACATCTATACTGGGTGCTATTTCTGCCTCGGGCTTGATTACCGTCGGCATAAAAAAAACCTAGACCTGCGAAGAAGAGAAAAGCTGATGGATACATAAGCTCAGGGACTGTTACTGGTCACTATATCAGTTTCTTAAAAACGACACTCGATGAAATGGACAAACACCCACATATGAAAGGCTATCATATTGTTATGGATAATGCACCAATTCACACCCATGAAAACATAAAGAAGTATATTGAGTATCGAGGATATAAATGTGTCTATCTTCCTACTTACTCTCCTGAACTTAACCCAATTGAACAATTCTGGGCAGTGGCAAAGAGTAAGGTCAAGCGTCATAGGTTTTTGCAGGAAGACACTTTGTCCAAGAGAATTACAGAAGCCTGCAACAGTGTGAAGCAAAGTCATTTCAAAGGATTCGTCTCGCATTCTTATCAGTGTTGGGACAAATGTCGAAACAGACGACCTATGTAATGACCCAAAACGGTGAGTGGCAAGACCAAAAAAAAAAATTCATAATCGTTTTTGTCTTATTCTTCGTTCCTGATTTTTTTTTTTTATCCTTAGCGAAACTGGAACCTGTTCGAATGGATCTATCGGATTTAACAGGACAATTTAATACGCAAGTATGTTTGGAAATTGTTAATGATTTTGGAAGGCAAACGTTTCAATTCCCTTCAAGTCGATAATAAGTTACTTTTTGTTCCATTTACAAAGTTTAATTGACACAATGTCATATTTATACTGTAATGACGTTTGGCTTTGGGAATGAACATGATCAGGAAAGGATTCTTTGAAATTTTTGAGATAGATCTTGTGAACCAAATTTTTCATGACAATCATTGAAACTTATTTGACTTTCTTTTAGTTTCATTAGACATGGTCATTTTTATTTTATCGGACGGTGGGTTGAAATTTTTTTTTTTAAAAGAGAGAGAGAGAAAGAGAATTTATTTCAAACAACCCAATGAATTTCGAAATAAATGATTTTTTCTTTACTAACACTGGTATGCTTCCTTGATAATGGCTTCGATCTTTCGATCGTTGTTTTTTCGTAATCCACTGGTTATGAGTCCTGTCATATCAGTAAGAATATTGTTCAAAGGAAGGTTGCCAATAATCTGCAATTCGTTTCCCAGCTCCTGTATCCTCCGGATGAAGTTGTCCACAGTAGTTCCTGTTGCACGAGATCTAATTGTTTCCAGATCATCCGACTTGATCAAAGCTTTGACACCATTACGTACGACTTGCGTGGCAATTTTTTGAAAAACCATTGACGTCAACTTCTCTTGAGACATACTGTGCTGAGTTGAGTCTTGATCCGAGAGAGTCCAAATCGTGCATGGTTGAAATTCAAGCCTTGAACCAAAATCCGATGACGCTCGACAGCGGGTATACGTAGAGAGATGGTGAAATTTGGATCGAATTTGCTTGAGCTGGTATAAGAACGGCATCGTTTGCGATTCACAGCAATGGTCGCCTGTCATCAAATTAAGAGCTTGCTGTCGGGATTTCTTATCCAAGAATATACGCGTACCAGAGCAGGGTGTGAAATGACTTGTCTCAGGTCCTAGATTCACCGAAACTTGGTCAATTCGCAAGCTGGAAGTTATCAAAAGATCGCAGGTTCGGCTAGAAATGTGGAGTTTATTTTGGCCATTTTCCATCGATGACAGCAAAACCACGTGCACGTAACCATACGGCGTTTCACTGGTCGGAAATGTGGAAGAAGCAGGCGTGAACCGACGTTCGTGATGAGCATCATCCAATGCGTATCGGCCATAGGGTTCAACTGTGTTGACAAGAAGGAACTGGGAATTGCTTTCAAGGATAGCACCAGCCAACAATTGAGAGCATACGTATCGCATTTCAGGATAAAGAAGCCAATCTTTGTTCAATAAAACGCCATCTTCCTTGGTAAACTCCACATAACTGTTTCTTAGCAAATGCTTGCCCATTTTCCTAAAAAGAAATTAAAGATCAGTCGATTTTCAAATGGCAAAAACATACAAGACACAAAATTTGACTTACGATTTCATTAAAGCAGCTTGTACAAGTATATCACCATCTATTGCTTCAAAGCTATGGCTGTGCGACACCCTCAACGGCATATACCACATACCAGCATCCGGATCTTCCATTATTGCGCTTGCAGTAGTTGGAGAAGCTAAGAAGTGATATTGTCGAGCAGGTGCCGAGAGAGTGATAGGCGTCCAGCGACCCAGTCTGGCGATAGACAGCTTGTCCACTTTTGTTTCTTCGGTTTCAGTCAACGCATCGCAAGTTGCCAAAATGGTGGATTCATAGTCCAAACACTTCCTTTTCTTTGATTTTAACGTTGATTGCGTGAGACATGTTGCTGAAGCACCGTCGAACTGTTCACTTGCAGAGACAGCAATGTCGTGAGCGTTCAGTTTACCGGATTCCACGAGGTCGTCAGATGAGTTACCACCACTGCTGTTGCTGGGATGAATGATTTTTTGATCTGCAGGAAGTGAAATGCAAAGACCGTGAACTGCCAGATGATTTCTGAAACCAACAGTTGACTTGTATAGGCGGTCACAAACAGGGCAACAGAACCCATCTGCTACTTTTTCAACCACTATTTTGCCTATATACAACAGGAAAATATTAAATAACACATGCAAAATAATTCATGCATAAACTTACTTTCACCAACGAAAACTTTGTCAATATGGGCATTCCTTTTGTGACTCTGAAGTTTCTTGTTTGTGTCAAATTTTGAGTCGCAAATATCGCAACAAACACTTGTCATGACAATACAAAGAAAAAAGAAAAAAAAAAAAAGTGATTTGCTATTTGCACACGTCGGTCGCACACGTCGGTTGAACATGCCAAGCGTGCAGTATCGTTCATAAACAACTAGAAAGTGTGGTTGTTTTAAAGAATATTATTGGCTATTTCAGATTTAAGGAGAAATGCTTTTATTTACTATTTATTACTCCTTTTTGAGATGTTTCCGTAGTTTACGCGTGAAAAAATCTTATGCATTAAAGACTTAGTCACTTCTAGGCATTAGATATCAATAAACCAAGTATGGATAAATTCTTTGGAATACTGATCTGAAAGGTTATATGTAACTAAGGTGTCGATATAGAATAGAGACTATGTTTTTATGCATTGTAAAAAAAAAGTACGCAGCATGTGTGTAACCGACGTGTGCAAATAGCAAATCCCAAAAAAAAGCGGTTTTGCTCAGCTCAACACCTATTGCTCGGCCCATAACTTTTTTTTTTATTACACGTAGATTCCATGCCTCGCAATGGGCTTGTTATCAGTGATAGTTCTGTGCCGTCGTTTTATTGAATAAATTTGATTTACTTCTCATGACATTGGCAATCGATGTGCTTCTAAAGGCACGAGAACACAGGATTTCCAAGTGGAAAC